TAGAGTCATACTTCCACGTCGTGGCAATATAAATAATTAAATAGCTATACTTTTATATTTGACGAAAAAAAGGTCGATTATTTCATGTGATAAGATTTCATTTTGAAGACTATTAAAAATACAAATAAATTTCATCTTTTTCATTACTTGTTCGTTACTGTTGTTTTTAAATATAGAAAATGAATGTTCATATAAAGATTTAATTGAAAAATAAGTCATACACATTGAGCAATTTTTGTATAATTATTTTCATTCTGTTGTTTATTTTTCTTGTAATTTAATTTTTTTATTTTTAAAATAAACATTATTTAAATAACTCAAATTTTTTCTTTTCATTTTTGTCATGAATATTTTCATTTCAATCATAAATATTTTCACTGCAATAATACATATTTTGTGAAAACAAAAAAAAATTTTCCTTTCACGTTACTCATAAATTATTTTATTTTATCAATAAATATTTTCAAAAACATACAAATTTTCATTTAAATCATAAAATTTGTAAAAATAATACAAATCTAATTTTCATTCAAATAATACAAAATTTAATTTTCATTCAAATAATACAAAATTTAATTTTCATTGAAATCATAAAACTTGTAAAAATAATACAAATATCTTTTTTCACTTTACTTAAAAATTATTTTCTTTTACTACTAAACTTTTTATTTCACTACTCAATAATTTTCATTTTACTGCTAAAATATTTTATTTTACTAATAAATATTGTAATGAATAAAACTCAAAATTTTATTTTAGTACGAAATATTTTTCAATTTACTACTAAATTATTTTATTTTACTAATAAATATTGTTATGAATATAACTCAAAATTTTATTTTCATTTAAATAACACAAATTTTATTTTTCACTTTAATAGTTAATATTTTTTGCGAAAAATCGTTTTTATTTAATTCATTTTTTTTCATTTAACAAATAAATAAAAGAAAAAGAAAAGAAACATATGACGTAATTTTATATTTTAGCCTTTTTCTTTTCTTTGAAGCGAAGGAGTAAAAGAAAATTTTTTTTTGTTTATTTATTTCAAAGTATAGAAAAAGAAACGAACAAAGAAAAAATAATTCACAAGTCGTTATTCGATAGAAAATCGTTGAACACGATTATTACCCATATCGACGACATAGAGATTACCATGTCGATCGAAAGACAAACCAATGGGGACGTTGAACTGATTTGCTCCTGCTCCTTTGCCATTTCCACCCACAATTACAGTGCCTTGTTTCGTGTCTCCTTGAGTCTGGCGCATTACACGATGATTGTGCGAGTCTGCTACATAGAGTGTACCCAACGTATCAACGAAGAGTCCATTAGGACTAGACAATTGTGTCAGAGCATTCCCTTGGCCTTGCCCTCCAGCAACCACAATACCTTCTGTTGCAACTTTATTCCATTTCATTACACGATGATTGTAGTAATCTGATACGTACACTGAATGATCTAGATCGACAAAGAGATATGTCGGAAAGTTGAGTTGACTGAGTCCATCACCTTGCCCATTTTCACCAGCTACGAGAGTGTAATTCTTCTCACCCAATTGATATCGTCT